TTAAAAATCAGTTTGAAAGTCTCTACTTTTTAAAGTATGTGCATCCCCATCACCAATACCAGAATATATGATTCTGTTTTCAGCAATGCAGAGAGAATTGGAAGCCAATAATTAAAGAAGAGAGATTACTACCCACCACCGAGAATTCAGTATCAGGCCCTCAGTGGCTAAGATAATGCACAACACTGAGAAACTATTTTTCCACAGTGACTTTTTTATTTATTTTTTTCTAATAGAAACTCTAAATCAGAGTTCAAAGAGTCAGCTATTTACCATTATTTTTTCAGACTAAAATTACTTATTTCTTGACAATATGTTTTAAAGTCATCCTGAGGAAAAGAGAACGTACTTATGCGGTGTGTGCCATGAGACATGAGACACAAGCTCTAACATCGAACACAGCTCTCTATTGTACAACAAGTAGATAATTTCTAAAGAGAAGGGTATGTGACCAAACTGGTATGTAATACCCACCGTGGCTGGTCACTAAGCTCCAAACTGGCACTCAAAAGCCTTATTCACATACATATTCATTTCCTATGTCCCTTATTAAACTTGAAGAAGTGCAAATATTCATGCAGGAACAAAAGTACAAAAATCTGTCTATACCTAGGGTAAAAAAAAAAATTACACCAAGAGATTTGATATTTTCAGCTCAGTCACTATCCAGAAAGTGACTTGCAGGCCTATAGACACAGAGACCACCTGGGTGGAGGAAGAATAGTTAACAAACAGCATCTCTTTGTTACTGCCTAGAAAGCTTTCCCCAGGAGATCTGAGTCAAACAAGTATTTGTTTCTGCTGAACAGCTTATCTGCAAAAGTTTTTGTCAAGTCTTTCAAGGAAATAACACTTCAAATACCCTAACCAGAGACAGATGCAAGAGTACCAGCTTTGGGGGGGGGGGGGGGAGGAATAAGAAGTATTCAGAAAATAACTCAGTACCACTGAGTTTTAAGTGGCCTTGCCACACTAGAGCCCATCTCAGGCACTCCTGAAATGCAGCAGTATCAGTACTTAGAGGCAACAATGGGGGTGGAAAGATTTTCCACATTCCTGCAAGGTTCTTCCACTTGGTCTATAACTAATAAACATAAAGCAGACTAGCAAAAGAACAACTTAGGTACATATGTATGAGGAACCCACACAGACAAGAAAGGCAAACTAAGGTATTTATGCTATCCCAAGCTAAGGAATGGGGCAGCAGACTGAAGTTTTAAAGGTGATACAAAGACTGGCAGAAGGAGAGGAGAAGTTTGATAATTAGATGTTTTCCTGCCATTTAGATGGGTCACAGAAAGTTATTTTTGGAAAAGCATTCATTATGCTCAAGTCCCCCTCTCCCCTACCCCTTAACCTAAATTCTCTAGATAATTATGGGAGAGGCAGAAATTTCTCGAGCTTGCAGGGTCTTGAACACTGTTACTTAAAATAATCCACATGCCCAACTGACACATCTTGGGGAGACCTGTTCTGAACCTCTTCACCTTGCATGTACACTGCCAAGTACTCAGTAACTGGTCCATACTTTTTAATTAGTAAAAAGCTGAAGTTCAAAATTGCTCTCAACTATATTAAACAAAGAAACGAAGCACACAGATTTTTATTTGGTTTAGTTTGAAAAACCTTTTGACCAAAAACCTTATTTCATGGAGGTCCTCCAACCACTAATTTTACTAGAAATTAATAGCAAAAGACAGGAAATTAATTACTCAACATTTTTAAGTCTGTAAAACTAATTTTCATATTATGCTCACATCAAGGCGTTCAGAAAGCAAGACAGCTGAATCAGTAGTAGCAGATACTCTGAGAATTCTGCTCTGTCATCCACTTTACGGAACCCTCCCCACCTCTGATTTCAGCAAACTGGAAAACACAGATGATTACCATGGTGTCAATGTTTTGGTCTCAACAACCTCTGCCAACAATGCCGGCAACTGCCCAAAAAGGTCAAGAAATCCTGTCCATCAGAACTGCCCATGGACTCAGCAGCAGTTTTTAAAGTAGAAATACACCAGCAATAATTAAAGACGAAAACAAGACAGATTTTGGTCTTTTAGATGTGCATGATGAATGCAAAGAAATGTAAGTTACCATATGTAGTCAAAGAATGGGTCTTTAAAATTACAAACTAATTAAGTTAGTAAAATATATATTCTGCAATCCTCATTCATAAAAGTAGTAGAGTAAAACTCTGACTTCCCTTTCACAGAATATATAATTTCTACTTTAAATGATTGATATTAAAAAAATAAAATAATGTAAGCTTAAAGTCTGATTTAACTCTCAGTGTCCAAACCAGTGCTACAGTTCCCTAGAGACATTAGAGGTCAGCACACGGTAGCCCACAGGCCAGCGGCAGCCACAGCCCACTTTTTGTCCTGACCACAAGCGATGAGTGGTTTTGCATTTTTAAAGACTTTTAAGGGAAAAAGAAAAGTAACAGATACCACTCGTGGCCCACAACATATAAAATATTTATTATCTGGCCTGTCACCTAAGTTGCCTGTCTGTGACTTGCATCCATAAAAAGTTCTAAATAAATGTCCCTTCTGAACAGCTTGAATTGGATTCTTTCTGGTGTCTGTTTTAGATGCATTTCCATGAACAAAATTTAGGGCATACTACACGCAGCTACTGAGAAAATACAAGGGTAAACATGTTTACTTTGTTCAGATAACAAGCAAGAAACAACAGATGAACAACAAACATTCTGCAGAAAAGGGCATCAAATTTTTCAAAAGCTGGGGATATGAAATTTTAAAAAATATACATAATTCAATGATCTCCACAGTTAGATGAGAAAGCCCTTTAAAGTCTCCCAAAAGCACTCCAATATGAAATTAATTTCAAGAGGAAGATGAGCAAACTTTTGAAAGGCAAGTCAACAAGACCACGTAATGAAAAGAAACTAAAGATCAAAAACTGACATCTAAGTTGTAGTTTAGTGACATAAATAACATAAAGGTATCAATGAAACTGGGTACGAAAAGCAAATCATAGGTTAAAAACCAAACCACAAGAATTTATCACTTAATTAGATGGTCTATGGAAATAGCTACAGTGAAATTTAAGTTAATCAGCTTCCATCTCATACACTTAACATATCTTCCTCACTTCCTTCCCCCAATCCATCCCTAAAAACCTATTTTAAAAGGAAATCAGGTAGTTTTATGACTATTCAAATGACGGTACAGGAAACATTGCAGAATAAACCAGTACTCCTGAGGTAGAAACCACACAAGGAAAGGAGACACAGCTATTGAGGCTCAATATCAAGGAAGTGACGGGCAACAGGCCAGGAATAACCTGCTGCCTTCTAGTGTCTTCTCTGGCTTTTGTACTCCAACTGCGGCTCCTGCAGCAAAATAAGCATCGCCCAAGAATCAGAAATGCAGAATCATAGACCCAGTCCAGACCTTAAGTCAGAACCTGGACTTGAAGCAGCAGATCAGGCCATTCACAATGACAACAGTGACAGACTTGCAGGTTTTCCTTTTCTTTGTGAAATGTAAACTATAATGTCCACTACTCTAGAACGTACCTTTTACAAAATAATCCAAGTACTAGGTCCACAACAGTTTTCAGTGATCTGGTGTTTTTTCATAAGAAACAGCCAGGATATAATCATGCAATAATCATCTGCAAACACAGTCACTACCTTCTGACTACCTTCTTTCTGAGGGAAATCAAGGCACTTGACTAGAGAAGACCAGAAAAAAAAAAAAAAAAAAATCAAACGTCTGCCCAGGCTCTGGGACCTATGTATGGATTTGAAATCTCAGGTGACACCAAATCTTTCTTTCACTATGTATAGGAGCTTTGAATGACATACTTGTACTACAAAATAAAAAATTCAGTTTGTATTGCAAAATAAAGACTTAAACAAGAGTTGTTTTCACTGTGTACCAAAGTTATAAAAATTAGGAAGAGGTACAAATGATCCCCCACTAGGGAAATGGTCACAGAGACTAGCATTTGGGCATATATGTGAATGGCAGTTCACTTTTAAAATTTTACTCCTTTACAAACTTAATAAATGTTCTAAAAGGCCTGTTTTCAGGTTTCATCGTGTAGTGAATCATCTGTTCATCAATTTTCCTAACTCCAAACAATACCTAAGCTTAAGTTTCACAAAATTGGTTTGTTGGGATCACAGGTATATTTATCCAAAGAAAGTCCTAAACAGAAGTCCAGCTTGTATAGGACATACACTAACTCATTTCTTACTGCATGAAAACTGTATTCCATCACACCCTACAAGCATTCCTTTCCAGCACTTCAGTCTTTAGGTAAAATCTACTTCACGCAATTGCTTTATTTACCTAGAGAAAAAGTTGCTCTTAAAATGAAGGTGGCTTTTAACATAAAATTCAGGAAAATATGGCATTAATTTCTGTCAAAACAACAACATAAATGAACAACAGAATTTCTATTTATTTGCTAAATATTTGCTAAATATTTTCTTCCTCTGAGAACTCTTCAAAATATATCCTTTAAAAAAAAAAAATTCTACCAAAGTAAAACTCTTCAAATACAACCATCTAGAAACAAGACATAACACTCTTACAAATAATTCTATAACTCAAAATTTGTTCCCCTGTTCTTTTAGTTCATAAATAAAATGAGAAAGAAAAAAAAAAAAAAACTCCCACTTTTCCTGAATCCTGAATGGAGGTTGTGCTGAGGTGAAGAGAGTTGTTCAACGTGGAAAGAGCAAAGCCAAAGTGACAGCCAGGACAGAGGACCCAGAGGTACCGCCCTCACCCATCCTTGAGAACACCTACCAAATACACATTCTTTTATTACCTATTTTTAGTATAATAGAAAGAAAAACTGATTTAAGTTGCATTCAATAATACAACGATTATGTTATCAGGTATGTACATTTATTAATGCTCCTGTTTTCTTGACACCAAAATGATATTAGTAGATTATGATTAATGATTAAAATCACTTGATAAAGTTGGCAGAGAAGAGATTTATGAAGTTTTACTTACCTGTCTTGTCTTTGCTGATGTTTCAATAAAAGGAATTCCATAACTTCTTGCTAAGTCCTGAGCCTGTTTTGTATCTACTGTTCGAGAAGGCAAATCACATTTATTTCCTACTAGAACCATAGGTACATCTTCAGAGTCTTTAACTCTTTTTATTTGTTCTCTGGGGAAGAAAAAAGAGAGCAAAGGGATTAGTACAGTTAATGTGCTGTGTATTCTGCAAAGGGCTACTACATGTTGATTTTTTCAATATAAAATGTGTACAGACTTTAAATTTGGGGTAAAATTATGCATTAGTATACAGTACTAAGAGCAAGCAGACAACAGAGTCAAGGTTGGCTCAAATTCCTAGTTTCTTTACTTATTAGCTGGCATATTTGTAGCTACTTACTAGCCTACAAAAATATTGTTACCAACCCAGATTATTTCCCCTCTCTTACTAGACTACAGAGAAAACAGGCTGGAAGAAATGTGAGGTATAGCATTAAACCCCTCGAAGCTACTTCATTGTTATGAATGGGGTATTTGCTCAACAGAAGTTTTATTTAAGCTGTAAGTAAACAATGATATTTGATATATCATATCAAGTAAACAATTGATACAACAATGATTTAAGATTACAAGATTCTTTAAAAACTAGTTGTTCCAATAATTCAATTTTCAGAATAGTGTTTTTTTCCCCTAAATACCAAAGGCCAATATTTATCTAACTTCAACAAATTCTACCTGAGATATGCTTATTTTGAAACTATTTTGTCTAGCTTTTCATATTTATTGAGGTTTTCAACTGTCTGGTATATATAGCTTAATGCTTCTTTCTCCAACATACAGTGGTTAGAAGAACAAATTTTGATTCAAAACGGGCAAAGGTTTCAATCTAACTTCTACTATCCACTCAATATGGAACAAGTTACTCAACTGCTTTATTCCTCAAGAGCACCATTTGTAACAGGGATATTATCACTTCACAAAATGTTATTTAAAAAATTAAAGTAGATGATTTATGTGTGGGAATTAACAAAGATGGAAGATATAATTACTTCCCAATGTTATTTCATCATGTTCAATGTAAACCCACCTATAATGGTGAATATCTTCAAATGACTTAGTATTATTTATGGCAAATACACAAAGAAAGCCCTCCCCCGTCCTCATGTACTGGTCCCTCATTGCACTGTACTCCTCTTGACCTGCTGTGTCGAGAATATCCAAGAGACAGGTTTCTCCATCAATTACTACTTGTTTCCTGTAAGAATCCTGAGAAAGGAGAAACACAGTCTAGATTATTATAATGTAGGTTTTACTTTTAAGAGGTGTTAGACACAAATGAACAACAAAATGACAAAACCCAATTCAAAGAAAATAATTATTGCAAAAATGGGCTATCAAATCTATTATTTAGATGGCAAGAAAAATCAACTAACTTACAAATATCATCAAGTACTTCTTTCACTTATAGCCAAGGGAATATAAAAGCATTTGGTCAATATAGAGTGTATGTCCTTATCCATTTCTTAAGTCTTCAATACCAATATCTAACAGTTGGATATTATACTAACTCTAAACAGTATAACTGCCTTATGTACAAATTCTGTGGAGCATTTACTAAAAAAGAAAGATGTGGGCAGGAGGAGAAACGATGGATATTATAAAAGGACTCAGCAGGTCAACTGAGAAGGAAAAAGGGTTGACAGTACTGACAGGATCTTGAAGAGACAACCTAATTTTCCTCTGCTTTTGAAATACAACATATGCACAAAAGGTTTCACACATTCTCTGTCAAGTAGCCTAACAAAATAAGGAAAGGGGGGGTGGTTAAATGTGAAGTCATGGAGTAAGAGTCAGGGTATATAATGAGTATACTTTCAACACTTTTTTACTGTCCCGCACATGTTGTGAGACTAGCATGCTTCAGCTCATAATTACCTTATAGAACATTCTACCACCAAACGTGAGAATGGTGGTAACAATCATGTTTTTAGTAAAATGTTTGAAAACTGTTTTCAGTATTAAGGAGAATACAAAAATGCATATGTAGCATGACCCAAGGAAGATACACACACATATCTGTATAAAGGGTTCTGTACATAATTTTTAAAACTGGTGATATATATAGACAACAAAAGGTTATGTCTTCAATGGAGAGAACTAGTTTAGGAAATAATTTTACCTTTTTTTGGTAAAACACATGCTAAACACATTTCAGAAAGTAGGAAAGACTACCATTTAGACTATGATATTGTACTGATATTTTAAAGTAAAGTATATTCCAAGTTAATTTTCTTACCAGTCAGGAAAAAGTGATTATGTATTTTCTCAATAAAAAGCTCCTGACCAAAGATGGGAACATTTTTTAATTTTATTACTTCATCCCAGTTCAGTTAAAATACCTGAAAAAAACTTCACACATCATGAATACCAGAGTTTCTGAAGCATTGTGAAAGCTCAGGAATGGAGGGCAACAGCGTGTCTCTTAGAGTCACTCTACACTGCAACCAGGAGTGGCTACAGGGCATGAAAAGACAGATCTAAGATCTCCCCTTACCTATTTCTGGCAGCTCGTATGTTTTACTTACCAATACTAACAACCTTAGAGTTGATAGTTACCTTAGTCTTCTCGCAACAATAAAATGAGACTACAGTTGCTAGAGGCACTCAAATCTGTACCTACAGCCTGGCTGGGGGATTACTCACCATCTGCCCACATAGAATGCCTCCAAAAGGTACCTCAGTGAAGTCCCACTTACACAATTTTCATATGCTTTATGTTTCAATGTACACCATGTAGAATATCAGCAGTCCACACATATTTCACAACATATTCCCATGATGAAAACTCCATCAAAGGGATTAAAAAACTGGGAAAACAGTTCCTATTCACCAATACATCTCACAATACTATCTTCTCCCTTCTAAATCCTAAAATATTGACAACCAAGTTGTCAATTCCAAGATATTCAAGTTCCAAGATATTGAAAAAAGTAATCCACAGTAGAATATGCGGATTAGAAATAACAGGTATTGGTTAAAAAGTCAGTATTTCCAAAGTAATGATTTTAACTAGAGTTATCCTTAGAAGTTACTGAACTATATAAAAAAGGCAGCACAAATAAGTAAAATCTTATAACCTGAAGAGTTAAATGATAACCTATGATCTGAAAAAGAAATAACAGGTTTGAAGACAAAGCAAAAAGCAAGCACAATTAATATACTAAAATTTTATTCCCACTTTGCTATCCAAAAGAGAATATATGAAAGCAGAAAAAATACTTGTATATTAGTATAGGATTTCTCCCAAAGTTAAGACAGTAAGTAAGGGTTAAGCAAAGCACTGTCCACAGGTCAAATCCTGTATATCTGTTTTTATATGGCCTAAAAGCTATGAATACTCTTACTATTCCAGTCTTTCAAACAGAATAAACTTTTACATCAGGTGCACAAGCTACTAAAATCCTTTGGAAACCTGGATAATATAAAGCCACTTATAATAAGTCAACATAATATCAAATGAAGGAAAGGTATTCTAGATGATTCCCCTCACCCCCAGCCAAAGCACTGAACACTGTTTTGTTTTTGTTTAGTGCTGATACAGGCAATCCTTTGGGAAAGCACTTAACAGTATATATCAAGAGCCATATAAATATTCATAGCTTTTGACACAGAATGTCATTTCTGGGAAGGATGTTAAGAAAATATAGCTTGTATTTGAAAAAAAAAAAATTCCAAAGAGATAGACTTAACAGGCACCCTGAAATGTCTTACAAAGGAAAATTACATGGCATTTTACTACTGACCCACAATCGCATGCCATTTATGTATATTCAAAATAAACTCCAAACCCAGGGATCCTTAGTGAGGATCCCTGTTTATAGTCTTATAAATATTTTCCATAGAGCAGCGAGCGATGGTCACTTCAAGTCATCCTATAATATCTCTTCATGCCTAAAAATAGAATTCAAAAGGCTCATGCTGCCCTTCCTCAATACCTTCCTTTTCTTCACAGCATGTATTACAATGTGTAACTGTATTTCCTGAGTGATCCTCCAAGTCTGTTTCTCTACTGGCTTATGATGGCTTGGCTCACATCTGTTTTGCTCCCCACTATCCACCATGTACTTAATAGCCTTGATCACAACAGGATCAGGCCTTCTGTTGAATAAATGAATGAGTTCATTCAAAGTAAATATATGCAGACACTATAAAAAGTCTTGTAAAAAATAAGGACAAGTTTAAGAAGTTTAAGTTTAAGTTACATTAAAACTTAAAGTTTAAAATTACAATAAGAGTTGTAATAGCCATACTCAAGCAAATTCTATCTAATAATAAACTTCAATGTAAAAATAAAAAAAAACACTTAAGAACTTTGAAAGCATTTGTAGAAGGAAAACAATAAAACTGCAGAAAAGAACACAAGGGCCTTCAACTGCACTAAGCTCATTATTTTTGAAAATGGAAAAGACCCAATTCCCTAGATAACAGGAAAGCTGCCCTGTCCACATAGCACTTACCTGCTACCTCCCAAAAGGGGTAACAGTGCCCCCCAGGTCATCACATTCAGGAGCAGGAAGCTTACATTTTTATTTGACTTTAAATGTCTGTCAGTTGCTAGGTTAAACATTCTTGTCTTAATAACTATTCTTTGAGATTTTATAATGCTATATAATTTTTCTCTCAATTTCCATATTTATTCTTATCATATGTGTCCTTTTATAATCAGTTTTCAAGTTATCTGTAACAACAAAATTTTTTAAAAAATGTTTTTTTAGTTAATTCACTTTTTTTTAGTTAATTCACTTTTAACTGAAGTTTTATGTACAGAAGCTTATCTATAAGTGTTTTATAAGAATGTGACAGTTAAGACTAAATCATTCAAGGTGAGGTAAACTCACTGATCAGGTCATCACTTTTGTTATTTTTCCTTTATAATCAATAGTAATCAAGTTTCTCAGAATGTTCATCTTTTAACACACTCAACAGTTTCCCAGTTTAGCAGCAACTATAACATGAGGAGACATACTAGAATAAGCAGAAATCTAAAGAAATGAGCAACTTTTACTATAAGTAACCATATTACCATGGTGACAAGTATATCACAAGCATTATCCTATTTAGTCTCCATCTTCATACTGCTGATTTCATCAATCTTATAAATATGAACAGTACTGCACAGATGTCAGTTAAAGTAGTATCTGATGATTTTGAAATGTTAGATCTTCCTAACATGTTAAAAAATGTAAGTATTTTTCATGTACTGATAAATAACACTTGTAGGGGAAAAAATGAAATCATTACTTTTACTTTCCTATGCCCAAGAAGTATGCAACACTTCTAAAGTTGAGTTGATTCCATCAGAGAATGGATGTGGTTCCACTACTGGGTATAGGCCGTCCATGGTTTTATAGACAGCCAGTTCTCAAAGACAGCTAGAAACATGTGTAAAAGCCCAGGACGACAGAATTAGAACAGGGAACCAACCAGATAATTGGGATATCTAAATGCAGACTTATCCATTCATTCTTAGCTGCCTAATCCATTCTCCTGTGGATCAGAGGTACAGCTTATAAAAATCTGTCATGTGTGTCAGGCATCATAAAGTTTTTGACCTCAAGGAACTAGGTCTGGTGGAAGAGAAATGAATATCAACAAATCATTACATACAGTGAAATAACCACAAGACCTTGTGCAGTACAAAGTACATTATACTTTATACATTATAAGGTATAAAGTACATTGTAAGGTGTACAAAGTATACCTGTTACAGGACACAGTACACTTCCCTGTAAGTCTACAGGAAAGAGTTTACCTGAAGCTTACAAGAATTAAGGCAGGCAGGAGAGGGGAGGGTCACTCCTGCAGGAAGGAGTACAAAATGCAGGTCTAGTACACTGGAAACAAACAGTTCAGTGCCACTTCAGTTAGAGGCATCACAGGCAACGGAAGCAGTGAAACTGGACAACCACACAAAGGCCCATTTATGGAGCACCTTGTGTGCCGTGTCATGGAATTTTGAGTTTCATCTTATACTAAGTAGTTGAAAGACTTTATGTATGAAGGAAGGGTCAGATTAATCAGGCTTGCTGTTAGCAATATGATGACAAATTGTAGAGAAGGATGAGGATGCAGGCTGGGAGGTAAGTTAGAAAACTATTATAAGAAATGACAGAACCTAGACTAGCAACAGCAGTCCAGATGGAGAAGATCAAAGAGTTCTGAGAAATATTCAATGGGCACAATTGGCAGGATACCCCCACATATCA